ATTGATTATAATAGTTCTCATAACTAATATCTGAATGCCATTGTTCAATCATTAATTCATTTAAAATGTTTTCCATCGTTGTATTCTGTGAATATTTAGTTGGCAAAGATGAATTAAGAGCTACAACAGTTATTGGAGATGTTGAATTAATGTATGATTGTAATTCGTCAATAGAAGTTTGATTATAAAAAGTTTCGAACGAAGAATAGAGAACAGATCCTATTGGATAACAGGTAATGTAAAGACCATGAATTTTGAATAAAATTTGACGAGTGAGAGAAGTACTATATAAATTCAGCTGTACAGCACATTTCAATGAGGTGTCACAACTACATCACGAGGAAAAATTCCAAAACGTTGACGTACTATTAAAAGTCACCCAGTATCTCCCGTCACACTCCTTCTTTGATCTTTAGATTCTTTTGTCAATCTTGTTTTATTGTATTTCATTCCATTATTCCTTTATAAATTGCAAAAGAATATATAACCAGAGACTTTTTTGTTTCTTTTTATGTGATTGTAAATTAGTGTTTAATAAAATTAGATGTGTACACAAAGATAATGAGAAATTTAGTATGTTAATAGGTATAAGTAATTGTCTGGGTTCGAAAAAACTTTGCGTTTCAATTGTTCTGATTTTTCATTTTTTGGATCAGGCATCTCTGGCCTGCATTGAGATATCTGAATTTTACTAGTCATTATCGAACTTCAATTCGGAGAGTGTTTGATTTCGGGGGATCAAATTATGTTAGACAAGAATCATGTTGATCCAAGTACTCCCACCTATCATTTTCGAAAACGGATTCGTCAATTGATCAAAGAACAAAAACTTACGATAACGAATCCGAATCCTGTTGACGATAATAATATTATACTAATAATATTATTATAGAACTTGGAGAGTGATGTGGAGAAACTTGGAGAGTGATTTACTCCGATTTTGAACAAAATCAAGAACGGTTTACTCGTAATTTGAGAAAAGATAAGAATGATACTCCGAATTTCGGAGAAACGTGAGGGATGATTTACTCCGATTTTGGTTTTTTCGAATACTAAAGTGCTACTTTCTCCGAAAACCGATATTAAATGTGTTCTTTGAAGAAGCTTTCTTAATCGACTTAGATGACTTATTTCTATTTTTTTTCGCCTACGTCAGAGAAAATTACAGTGAATATAACGTTTAGGCAAACCTAATGAGTGATGCTCATCAATTATTTATACTTCACCATGAGCTCGGAGAATCAGGGGCTTATTTTTGGAGACCTTACTCCCATTTTTGGATCTACCCCCCGATGCTCCCAAACTCTTCGCGCAGCCACTGGCAGCAATGGGTTACCCGCTTGGTCCTGTATTAGCAGACTTATTTATGCCAAAGCTTGAACAAAACCTTAGCAGATTTTCAATAAATAAACCTTTAATTTGGATTAGATACGTTGATGATATATTTTGCATGTTAAAGAAACATCAAAATATTAACGGTTTTCTAATAAGAATTAATAAATGGCATTCTAACATTACGTTCACGGTTGAGCATGAATCTGCAGGAAAATTAGCTTTCTTCGATGTCTTAATAAGTCGAGATAGCACTAACAATCGTTATAACACAAGCATATATAGAAGACCCAAGCGAATAAGATGCTCGGAAAGCAGACTTGGAGCAAAATTTATTTTTCGATGTTTTACACATCATTCGATAGAGAATTGTGCGCTGATTAGGAACATTTGCGCCTCGCTTTTTTGGAGACTTTTTACCGATCTAAAAATTCAAAAAACCGAAAACCCGAAGGCTTTTCGGAAAACTGGCCATGACCTTTTTGCATTTTAGTGAAACAGATGCTATGAGAAACATTAGTGATTTTATTTAAAAATCACGTTATTGGTTTGTTCAAGCTTTCGATAAGGTATACTTATCATTTGATAAGATACATTTGAATTTTATGTCATTCAATGATCTTCCACGTGTCTCCTGTGTAAATTCTTCTCAGCCAATTCGTTTCTAAAGACAGAGTTTCCGATCTAGCAAAATCAAATGAATGTTTATTTTCGTTAGCATGTCTGGCAATATTGGATGATTCAGCGTACTTTTTAGTGTCAGTCTCATGTTCTTTCATCCTTGTTGTTTTCATTCCATCTCTTTCACCAACATAACATTTTTCGCAATTAAGACATGAGATTTTATAAACTAATTTCTTTTCTTTTTTGGATTCATCAAGTCCTTTATGTAGAGGTAGAAATATACTTTTAAGTGTAAAAGTTTTCCTAAATGCTATGCTAATTTGTATAAGAGGTAAATATTTATTGCAGATTTTTTTAATTCTATTAGCTAATATGGTGGATTCTTGGCCATGATATGAAAGAAGGAAAAATATTTTTCTTCGAGGTGGTACTTATTGGGATTGTTTAGTAAGCATTTTCTTAACGATAACTTCTCCTTCGCATATTCTTCTATTAATTAAGAACTGCGGATACCGGATAACCATTGATCACTAACGTTTGTTTCGTTAATACAAGTTAACTATCTTTTAATTTCTTTGTTGAACGTATAAGTAAGATACGAATGACTAGTGTTCTAATTAAACTTAATTTATATTCCCGAGATTGATTGCTTTCATATAATAAATATACAGAAGGTGCTCGGGAAGCAGACTTTGAGCAAAATTTATTTTTCGATGTTTTATACATCATTCGATAGAGAATTGTGCGCTGATCAGGAACATTTGCGCCTCGCTTTTTTTGGAGACCTTTTACCGATCTAAAAATTCAAAAAACCCAAAACCCACAAACTGTGCAGACCTAACACAAGCTTTTATAGAGGTCATAGAGCCAATATTTTTACATGATTGGATCCGCTAGATGCTCGGCTTTAAAGTTACGAAAAGCTTTTCAAAAATTCCTTTTCCTCGCTAAGAAAAATCATTTTTTCTAAATCAGCGGCGAAAAAGTCAGAATTCTGCTTGTAATTCTCAATTTTCTCCAAAGAACTCAACTTTTAAGCAATAACACTATCATATTCGGAATCAGCATCAAAACACGAGTCGACTGATGTGTATGTCTATCCTACCCAACTACTTTCACTTTTTTCCAATTTTCACATTGAACAATTACCTAACGTTTCACCCAAAACTGAAAATCAACTAAAAATTTCGAACTACACATCAGTCGACTCATTTTTCATCCAGATTCCGTATATGATAGTTTCTAAGTTTTCTACGTTAACTGTAATTTGTATAATTCTTTTCGTTATTTCTTTCCCACCGTATATATATGACTCCTCTTAGAGTTAATTCTAATGAAACTATCTTGAACTATCTTTGACTCAGTGCACGTGCAAGTTAATTCTAATGAAACTATCTCGAACAAAGAGTGTTTACTTCATCACATGTCCGGAATACATAGTGAATTAACAGACTCCGCAAAATGGGATCATGATTGCGACTCGGCGGCACTGGCTAAAGGGCTTCACATACCTAAACTGCAACAACTAACATTAGCTGCAGACTTGAAAAGTGCCATCGAAAAATCCTTTTATCGTTCCAGTTAGTCTTACAAATTCGAGTCTCCTCATGATAATGATGCATTTTCGAAAAATATGGAAATTCCACTCAGACGTACTTTACCTTGTATTGTTGATAGTTTTGAACACGGTACGACATACTATCAAGAAGAGAAGTAGAAGTATATGTTTCAGCCTGAGGATACACCCAAATAATCAATCTACTTACAACTCCTACCACTGATGAATATTTTGCACCAGTTGCTTTATGTATGGCTGCCCCAAATTTTGTACAACCACAAATGAAATTTGTAATAATAAAAATGTCATTATTCTATAGATCTTTGATGCTGTTTATTTATTCGAGGAGACTTTTACCCAACATTGTATTCGTTTTTGGTTAAATTCTCTATTAGAAACTATAATTGCAAAAGCAATTAGTAATGCACATGTATACTGAAAACTTAATCGATTGCCGGTTGAATCATCACTTCTCGATGTTGCAAGAAATGATCTTGAAACTCATTGGCTGCACTCAATATTAGTCAAGACATTGTAATAGTTGTTGATACTGAAAATTAACGCGTCTCTAACGCGCGTGAGTTTTATTTTCAAATAAAACGAAATGCGTCGCACTAAACAATAATTTTATTTTCTATGGCATCACGATTAATAATCTAAGCAAACAATATATATATATACTTATATATAAAATTCAAAAAGTAGTTGAAGCGTTTTTTATACAAAAAGCATTCAACCGTATAAATTAAAGTTTTAAGTTGGGTTCGAGGAGTCTTAAGTCAAGGCACTTGTCTTCGTATCACCCTCTATCTCTGCTAATAACAGTTTTTGTTTGTTATTTTATCAACATCTCCAATAACTATTGTAGCTCTTAATTCATCTTTGCCAACTAAATATTTACAGAATACAACGATGGAAAACATTTTAAATGAATTAAAGATTGAACAATGGCATTCAGATATTAGTTATGAGAACTCTTATAATCAATGTTTACCATTTAATTGTACTTATACGTATGTGAAGCGATGGACAAATCTAATGCATGCAATTGTAAATGTTATTGAAACAATCGGTGGATTATCAACTTTAACACCATCAATCATTAAACTAATACTAAGAATCAAAGATCCAAAAACCGGAGAATCAGGTAAGTGAGATCTCTTTTTCACATCTACACAATGATCGATCAGAGACATTTTCATTTGTTCACATCAAAGTTCGAAAATGGAAAACTTCTTTGTTATTGAATTTTATAATCGTTAGTTTTTACGTAATTATTACTTTGCAGTAATGAGTTTATTTTCAAGACTATAGACAAAAAAATG